TTCCCTAACTCTGCTGGGAGAGTGCTTGATGCCCGTTCTTCGTTACGATCACTCTTTATTAATTACCTTTGCAACGTGAAGAGACGTGCGCAGGCGCCTGCCTGTCTTGGCTACTTGGGGGGAAGAGAGCTCCAGAGGCCGTGGTGATAGAGAGGAATTAAACCCCTCATCCTCCTTGGTGCTCTGGTGTCCCGTGACCGCCTGGATCCTCCCGGCTCCTCCCTGTTCGCCCTGGTGGAGCCTCAGAGAGGTTTTTTATTGCATTGGTTTTTGGGGATTTTGTTCCAGGTTGCTCTCCTGGAGACGAACCCCTACCTGCTGGCGCTGACCATCGTCGTCTCCATCGTGCACAGCATCTTTGAGTTCTTGGCTTTCAAAAATGGTGAGCGCCGTGGTGGGACCTTGGTGATCCCCGGAGATGATGGCACGGCCTTAAAACCCTCTCCTTGCTTCTGCCTCCAACCTAGTCTTCTCCCCGCGGCAGCAGTTTGTTCCCCTCGTGCTGCTGCACCAGCCCTCTCCTCCCCAGCGGCGACGTCTTCAGCAGGCTTTCTGCTTCTTCTCTTTCTTCTTTAATTTGTTTGCATCTTTGATTTGCATTTTTACTTGATCTTGTAGTTGAGAGAAGAAGGCCTGGGATGATTTCAAGACCTTGTCTTTACCTTCATCCTGTCAGTGGACAAAATATTTGTTATAGTATCAGCCTCCGGTGCAGGGGGGTTCCCCTTCCCCTCCATTGAGGTGACCGCTGGGGCCCCTTCCCCACAGACATCCAGTTCTGGAACAGCCGGCAATCTCTGGAGGGGCTCTCTGTCCGCTCCGTCTTTTTCGGCGTCTTCCAGTCCCTCGTCGTCCTCCTCTACATCTTGGACAACGAAACCAACTTCGTGGTGCAAGTCAGCGTCTTCATCGGGCTCCTCATTGACCTCTGGAAGATCACAAAGGTCATGGACGTCCGGGTAAGCGGCGGTGCGGCTGCAGCGGGGCTCCGGCGGTGCCGTCTCTCCTGCTTGGTGACCCCTTTCCCTTCTCCTTCGGCAGCTGGACCGCGAGAACAAGGTGGCCGGAGTTTTTCCCCGCGTAACCTTCAAAGACAAATCGACCTACATCGAGTCTTCCACGAAGGTGTACGATGACGTGAGTTGGAGGTGGGGGATGAGTGCCGGGGACAGCCCAGCGCTGCCGTGCCCGGCTCCGGCCACCCGCTGGCTTGGCTGAACCTCTTGGCGGGCATCTCCTTTGCTTCATCTTCCCTCTTTCTCCTGCGTCTTTGTTCCCTGGGATTCACCCGGGGCAGGGTGGGCGGTGAAACAGGAGCTCGGGAAGCTGGGGAGATGCCGGGTTGGGGCTCTGGCTCATTCCTGGCTAATTTGGGTGGTGTTGCTCCCCCCCCCAGATGGCTTTCCGGTACCTCTCGTGGATCCTCTTCCCCTTGCTGGGCTGTTACGCCGTGTACAGCCTGCTCTACCTGGAGCACAAGGGCTGGTACTCGTGGGTGCTGAGCATGCTCTACGGCTTCCTCCTGACCTTCGGTGAGTGCTGCGCTCGCCCCCCAAAATCCCCCCCCCTGATGTGTGGAAGAGGAGCCTGGGCTCCCCTGGGGCTGCCGGGGGTGGGGTGGGGTGGTGTTCTTCAAGGCAAGGCTTTGTCACGCTAACGAGGAGCCCTCTCTCACAGGCTTCATCACCATGACCCCCCAACTCTTCATCAACTACAAGCTGAAGTCGGTCGCCCACCTGCCCTGGCGGATGCTGACCTACAAAGCCCTCAACACCTTCATCGATGACCTCTTCGCCTTCGTCATCAAGATGCCCATGATGTACAGGATAGGCTGCCTGCGGGACGGTATGGCCTGGGG